AAGCCGTTGCTGAGGAGCGAGAGCAGAGGTACGCCGTGATGGTGGGGCGGCTGGTAGTGGGGAGGGATTTTAAAGCGATATCAGGGCCGTATTATCGCGCGACGCTCGGTGCCCCTCTTGCATCGATCTCCTCTTCTACGCTCCTCTATCTTGCGAATGCGTTATCGACTCTAGAAAATCCAGCAATCTTGTTTTTGATAGAAAGCAATTGTGACCTGATTTTATCGGATTTATAAGAAGATCGTGAACTTGTTGTTTACAAAGAATTGTATCAACTATTGATCACACCTCTGTCTATGCGTAGGCAGATTTATTTATAGTATAATTAAGCGGGCTGATTTTGAAGGAAAAAGTGTGTTAAGAAGAAAAAGAAAGTTGGACATTTTGTGAGGAGTACGAACCACGAAATCGTGGTAAATGCAGGAAGTGGAAAATCAATGAAGGGCTCCGTGTCTTGGTACTAGCAATGCAAGGCTCCCGTATAAAATATGCAGCGTGGTGATAATTTAACACTTAACTGTTGTTATTTATATTATACGAGATATAGACATTGTTGCACATCCAGCAACGAACCCACTTGTACAATAAGACACATCTAACGTATCTACATTGATGTCTGATTCCTCAAACATTAGCGCAACGCTGTCATAATGTTTTCACGAGTTGCAGAAATCGAAGAACAACGCAAAACGTATTTCGGGTGATTTTTATTTTTACGCTGACCTTCATCTTGGCCGTTTAGAATTTACACCCGGACGCGTGCAATCGTGGCTTTAGCAACGGCTAACTGACGTAACGACGATATTTCGTAATTTAACCAGCGTGCCACGTATTTTTATAAATGCAGTTTATAAAACGAAACCAAGGATTGAGAATTCAACGGGGGGCCTGACGACTCATTGATTCGATGGTGAGAACGAATCGTGGGAGGGGGAACGCTCAGCTGGGCGAACAGCTGCTGGTCGCTGTTAACGCTGGGACACTTGGAAAACTTCCTTTTTACCTAGCACCCATTAAATTTCCGTTACTTCGTGAAAACCTGTACCGTTCCCCGACCACCGAAAATCACCAATCTGCAAGACAAAGAATCCTGGTCTAAGAATTGACCTGCTAATTGTCCTTCGCCATTACGTTTCCTCGAACAAAGTAGTTTCGTTTAACTCACAGCGACATCGCTGTCCATAGTGGCAAGATGGCATTATATATAACAGTGTTTCTCAAAATAAAGTGAAGTTGCCCGACTTTATATAAAAAAAAAATCGATCACAGAAACATTAAGTACCACTGAATATCAAAATCCTTCCTCTTTACTTTTTCAGATATGAAAATAAATTTGTAAAAACGTTATGATACCATTTTCAGATAGAGGTTTATCTAAAGTGTAAATAATCGACGTAACTTCCGCGCGAATTGAGTGCATGGTATAATATGTATTTGCTGGATCAGCAATTGTTCGTAAATCAAGCATAATCTTATCGTTGTTTACAAACGACATGGAAGAGGTTATAAAAGGATGCGCGCGCCACCAGTATGTGTTGAAAGATGGACGAGCGCATAACGGAATGCGCGAGATATTAGACGTCCATTCGAGAGCAAAATGAAAATGGATTTTGTACAACAGTGAATGAGACAAGATCGGAATACCACTGTTGAACAGTGGCATAGTGGCAGTCTAACCAGCGACGAGACGCCTGCGCGAGTCAGCCCTGTCAATACTGTTTGGAGGATCCCTCCATCTCCCTGTTGGATTGATACGAGTCAATGCACGGCAGTAGCCAGGCGTGCATGAGAAACTTTTTGTTTCCTACGACCCAGTATCGCATACTCCAGTTTTGGCATTGATTTCCTGAAACTCTTATACGCTCGAAAAATAAGTCAACATCAAAATCTATTCACCAAATAAAATATTTTTACTTCTTAAGTTTAACAAATTAACTCTTTGTAATTTGTAAATGTAAACATGTAGTCGATATCGAATTAAATCGTAAATCACTTTCGACGGTCATAACGTTGGAACGTGATGGTGCTTTGGAAATGCGTAAAAAACATGAATTTTTAATGTTTTATTACGAGATATGTGTAGAAAGTGATAATATTCAGTAGTAGAGAAATACACAAACAAAGTCACGATAAAAATGTTCATTTAGGGGGAGACTTATTTGGATATTTCTGTCTTTTCACTCGCATGGAAAAATTATTAATATTGATATGAACTAGTACGTGTAGAAATGCTTGTACTGACAGCGTTTATTCGATTGAGAGAATGCCAAAAGGTTTAAGGAAATCGTTTCCTTGCCATTGGAGACAACGAACATTGGTAAAATGTAAACCAAAAAAAAAATGTATTATAAACTGATCGTAATTGACTTATTTTTTATTTTTATTGAATTGTGTATTGTATATCGTTTTAAATAAATAATTTACTTATGCACACATGCATGTTTGTATATATAATATAATATTTGTAAACAATAAATACAAACACGAGAACTGATTTTTTCTTTGGCATGCTCTGGGTATCACGAGCATTGACGTCTACATTTGGCACATAAGTACCTACCACGTAAAATACGAATTCGTTCTGCCAAACTGTAATTTCTACATACATAAATTACAGTTTAACATTCGCCATGAATACAGTCAGCGTTAAAATAATTCAAGTATTTTCAGAACAGAAATAAAAATATAAACAAAATCGTATCATGATATGTTTATGTATACTTAAAAAACTTATTATCGATTAAGGAACTCCCATAGTATCGAGTGGCTTTTTTCAGGATGACTAAGGAATTCTGTTGTCACAGTATTTCCGAATTGCAAATGAATGTTTTAGAGGAATTTAGCACCGCTTTCCACTTTTCAAAGACACACTTTGTGAGAATCTTAAAGAGCGCGGGAAAATGTCTTTACTGTAGTATAATGGCACGTAAATTTTATTTCTAATTCAAATGAATATCAATAAAAATAAACTAAAGCTTTATAAAAATTTCATTTTAAACAAAATAATTTTTCTTAAATTACGTAAAAATTTTTGACAGTGTTTATTACATTTATTAAAAATAAATATAATTTTTAACATGCTTTCTACTATCTGTGTTAGTACAAATGGCGCGAATCAGTACGTTGAACTGTCTTTGATCCTTTATTGTTTTGTTTTATGACAGCTAATAACCAGAGGTAATGCGTTTTCTTTTTAAGTTTTATGAAACCGGTTGAGAGTGTTTCTACCTTACCTTGTAATTAATTTTTTGTCATTTCTCTCGAATTTCCAATGATCGTCTATTACTGTAATAACAAACTTGGTTTGTTGAAAAGGAATACAAAAAGTAGATAGTTATAAGTATAATGCGTATTTTTAATTATGAAGAGTATAAACAAAAATAGAGTGTTGAAAGAATATATTTTTTTAAAATACAATTTTTAGTATAAACACCAGTTTGTATTTCGCAAGTTTTCTAATTTTCCCATCAAATTTTTAACTCTTTCTTTATCAACATCATTTTTCCATATTCCATCAAATTTAAAATGTGATCCAATAATTATTGCATCAGAGGACAAATAATCTTCTATGTTGTCTAATGTAACACCAGAACCAATTAGAATAGGTCCTTTAGTGGTCTTTTTAACCTCTATATAGTGTAATTTTGTAGAGAATTATGCATTAAAGGTTCTCAAAAAAAAATAATTTGTCAATATAAAAAAAAATACCTGCAAATTCTGATAAGTTGACTGGATTACCTGTAGCAGTTCCTGTCAGTATTATTCCATCACTTAAGAAAAATTTTGCTGCTTTTACTGTCTCTGATAAACTTACATCAGAAGTGATTGCATGTGAACTGTAGGAATAAAATGTCATGATTCCTATGTTAGATTAACAAAAAGTCAAATGAGAAATGAGATTTCCTTTTCAAGTATTAATAAATCACCTATGCTTTTTTTTAATATCAGTAAAAATAAGAATATCATCTGCGTCAATTTGTGTTCTGTATCGCAGTAAAGAGCCTGCACATGCATCTGTAAAACCCTCATCTGCAATATGAGAGAAGACAAACCCTTCTGCTCTAATAAATTGAAAATTAGCAGCCTTTGCTACAGCTAGTGCTTCCTTGTTACATCCTGCTAAAATCTATTTTATTTTTGTTCTTTTTACAAGTTATAGTTAAGGAACTTTAAGAAATATTTCATATAACAACTTTTTGATTTCTACCTGTATACCACAAGGTATATTATTAGGTAATATGTGTTTAATTTCAGTACAAACTCTGGTCATTATTGATGTAGTCTCAGGAGTTATACCTTTAGACCTGACGTATGGTATGTCATGCATATTTTCTACTAATATGCCATCCTTAAATTAAAATGTACTTAGTTTGAAAGGTACAAAATTCTTGGCACATAAATTTTTTAGTTAAACTTACAATTTTATAATCATTATAGATTGTTGCTTCCTTTACTGCATGGCTTATAATTTTGTTCGTATCACCTTCATACAAAGGTGTACCTACAAAATTATTTGTTTAAAAATTCAAAAACAAGTATTAAATGAGCTAATTGATTTGATTTTAAAAATATGTTTTGCAAATAACATATTTTTGTTAGATACTCTTAACTGACTGATTAACCACTGTGAAAAACATAGTACTTTCAATAAATGTTATTTACAATTGATGCTTTCTTTTATATCAAGAACAAAGATAAATCATGGCATAGACATTTCAAAACTAACAATGATAAAACCAACATTTATTCAGAGCAACTTTTACAAAATCCTTATTTAACATGAATTATTGAATTATTCTGCATTTACTGTAGAATTCTTCTTCAAGTTTAACCAAATGCAAATAATATTCCTTCTGTGCTATTTTACGCAACTGTTAATATGACAAAAATTTTATACCCGGCAATGCACCAACGTGTATCATTCCAATCACAGAACACCTTCCTTTTTTGAATATTTTATGAAATCGTAACATATTTTTGAAAAGAATCGCTTTATTTTACGAATACTTGCAAAGATTACAATTCTACATGCAGACGTATAATCGAACTGTAGTTATACGCGTATGAACTTGAGATAACTGTACTTCGTGTTTGTACCGCAGAATCCCGATTCAATAATCAGCTGTTTCATATTGACAGCATTATGTCTCTGTTGAACAAATGAGGTTAGAAAGAGAAACTCGAGAACAGTCTGTGTGTAACAGCTGACTTGTATAAATATCGTACAACGATTCGATTATATTCTTTTTTATTATTCGAATGTATGCAAATAGAACATTCAAATGTATTTTTCATTCAGATATTGAGGTTATTTCCCTATTTTTCCTCTTTTTTTTTTTAGTAGGTATTGTGGCGATAGAACTACAATCCTTCAGAAAAATTTGTAAATAAGCACTTGTAGGATTGAGACAAGTATTTAGGTTAGTTTTTAATGATTATAATAATCTATGGCAATTAAAAGGAATAAATGTGTCCATTTATTATAATTAATTTTTTTATCTATCTATATTTTTACAAAAATTCTTTCTCAACGGAATAATATTAATGGAATACATTTGAACCACAGACGATGTATAGTCTGTGGTTCTAACCACGCAATCCAATATGCATATGCATTTTTATGTACAGACGTGACAAAAGAGGATTTGCATTCGTCGACTATACCATCTTTAGTGGTTAGCTTAAATATAACTCCTAAATTCACCGCTCTAAATCGTAGAGGGCATAACTTAACCTCTGATTTTTTACACGATCGGTATTTCAGAACGTGGGTTACGAAGCCTATAAGGTGATAGGTCATTTCTACACCCCGTCTATGATTCGAACACACAAAGATTACATTTTCGTAATAAGATGTATTCTATTTAAGCAACAAATCTAGCGCAGATACAACAGTAGAAAGAAAATATATCAGCTATCGGTAAACATTCCAGTAAATAGGAATTCCTTGAAAAACTAACTCAGGCGCCATCTCTAATCGCTTGTTTACTTCCAATAGTAAAATGGCAGAATTTGAACAGTGTCTTTCAATGTGAAGCACTTCTTGTAATAAATTCTATCGCAGTGAAGTGATGATATCAATCAAATTCATCATACAAGTATGTATTCCGTTAATTTAACGATGTTAATGCGTATCAGACACAATTCTTGCGGCGCGAACAAGAATTTTACGAAAATTCGCGTTCTTCTAAGAAGACCTAGCCCAAAGTCAGAATCGAATTTCAATTTCTCACACAAGCAAATATTTCTCTCATTTCTACAACCCCCCCCTCCTCCCCCATTGAATTCACCAGCCCGTTCGTTTCAATTTTTCATCTCGAATTTCCGGAAATCGTGTCCGACTCTCACCCTTCGTCCACCTGTTAAACCCAGCTCCTTCTAAAAAGGGTTGCGTGTACCCTCCCCGTGGATATTCATTTTGACATGCGTTCCGCGTCCCCTATGTGTTCTCTAGCGGCACGCGCGCGTTTCTTCCGTCAGTGTCGCTCAGTCCCTCAGACGAGAGTGTTCCGTGAAGGGGTGGCGTTTACGGTTCCTTCGATTAAAACCCCCAACACCTGACATTACAGAAACAATGATTCTCGCGGTAAAGTAAATGAAAAAAAATCGAACAATTATTCTCGCGATTGAAACAAGATTAATTCGTCTCTCATCGCATTCCTTAAATCGACGTTGTATTTTCTTGATCGCAGGTTCACGGGAAACTCGGAATAGTACTGTTCTGTGAGGTGCTCCGACGTCGATCAACAAGTAGTTCGTGTACATATATAGAAAGTAGTTTCCTCCAGAATAGTGTACAGTACAGGCCGATGGAAGCACCGTGAAGTGGTGCTTCGAATAGTGTACCGTTCTCCACGCAGTGTGAAGTGACAGCAACGTAATTACTCGTCTGCCGGCTGGTCTTCTTCCGGTCGCGTATGAGTGACGTCTCGACAGGATCGCGGTCCACTGACTGCGACTGACAATCGTTTGTTACCGATAATCGATCGTGCTGGTGATTAACGTGGAATTTTTTTCACGGAGAACTCATTCACCGAGCTGTACATGTAATTGATTTCAGGATCTTCTAGAGAGACCTTCAAACCTACTGATAGACGTCTAATGAATAAATCAGACTAATTGTACTTCATATTGAAGAAAAACAAAGGTGGAACTGTTAGGCTGGTCTGTTGAAAATCTTTTATGGATGGTTTGAATCTTAAGGAAGTTAATATTGAGATTGTCAGTTCCTTCAGAATGAGCAGGAACTTACTGTCTTTGAAAACGTAGCAAAATGGATGATATTGACAGTGGAATTATCAGTAGTTTTTGAATTAAGTGGAATGCTTGAAAACTTGATCTCAATATTGGG